TACCAGGTAAATTACCTTGTTAAAGTAAGTACATATTTAATAAAAAATTAATTTAAAATTTCAGCTTTTTATAAGAATATCAGTCGATTTGAAATAACTAAAAAGAAAAGGCGGCCTAGGTTCAATCCGAAAGATCCACACGACTAACTTCCCAGTGGAAAGAATTAAAAAATAACATATGTTTTAATATTTTACACAATTTTTCATTCAGCACAAAAAACGACTTGAACGACTTTGGTCAAAATTTAATGAGGCCTACGTTACATAATTATGCGTTAAATGAAACCGGTCCCATGTCAATATCACTCTTTATTCTCGACAAACACGAGGCGAAAATTGAACATACAAACACACATATATACGTACATACATACGTACATGTGCACACACGGACATCCTCTTAAAACCATACTATTCGACTCTAAAGACGTGGAAACGTGGAGATATGTAAAAATTTCCAATTTCCAAAATTGGACACATTACAATAATTTCCTACTGGGAAGTTAACAAAACCTTAAATCTTAACGTTAAAGTCTTAAATTTGTTGCTAAGCTTTGTGTACAGAAGAAATAAAATTAATAAAATTAGATGTTAAATTGATTTATTCGATCTTGACAACTGCGCCACCTACCGGGTCTAACCGTGAATGTAAACCATCTAGGGACTAACTTAAACATACGCAAAAAATTTATCAAAATCACACACAGCAATTGATTATTTTTATATATAGAGATGATAGGAAGTTATGTATGGTTAGGACATGTGTATATAAGACATAAATAGTAAATACACAAAAGATAATAAGAGGCAAACAACAATGATATTACATTTTTAATTAATCGAAGAGCAATTAAATAAATGAAGACCGCTAATTATAACATTTAGGCCAAGTTTACTTACGAGTAAATGCGTAATACTAACGTTAGTGATAACTCCTGTTTATAAATGAGTAACTATTTTTATTTATTTTAATTTGGTATTCCAACGAATTAGTCTTAATGAACAATATACCGAAATTAAAAAAATTGCTTCATCACTTACAGGAACACAGCATACACTAAAAAAAATTGTTAACGTACCAAATCCGTGAACAACTTTCTGTACCGTCAGGCATTACTCTTTATAAGTCATTAATATTATCTGGGCTTTACTACGGGGATGTTGTTTATGAACATAGATAAAGCTTACACTCCCTTTATACGCTTACCCACCCCTTTAGTAATTTTACTAAATTGAACCAAGATGCAAGTCATAGGGCTGAAGGGATACTTCATTTATACTTATTCTATTATGCTCATTTTATTTTGTCATCTCGAGCGTAATAGTTGAAAATTAGTATTGGCTCTCTGAACAATACTAATCCCTGAGCTCGGACCCATTTGTTAAACTGCAATACACATGTACATACCCTGGATCTTAATATTAGACAGGAGTCGCAGAAAGGAATAATAATACGCCTCATTACATTTGTTTGCTTTACTACTTTTACAGCACGAAAAAGCCCCTTAATCATTATTGCAACCGTTTAAATTATACCACACAATGGTGGTAGCCTATCCCTACTACCTATTAAAACTAAACCTAGCAACAGTTTGAACGTATAAGAATTATTTATACAATTCAAATACTTTTATAATATGAAATTAATTACAAATGTTTAGAAAATGAAATTACTCACATAATATTCTTAGCAAATCTCTCAAATTCTAAATTAAAAATAAACTTCTAAACTATGACAATAAAATGACTTAATCTATTTCATATATTATAAGTCATTTTTATAATTAATTACAATACATACATAACATAAACACTCACGCCTGTCACCCAGAGGGATAGGCAGAGACTACAGACTTCCATTTAGCACGATCCTGACACACCTCTCTTGCCTCTTTCACATCCATATACCTACGCATACATGCTCGTCGGTTAAGGGTACTCTTAATTTGGCCCATTTTTAATATATCGCCAATATGGTCGACAAACTTCCGCCTAGGACGTCCCTTTCCGACTCTTCCATTCACTACTGCAACATACATTTGCTTTGTCAGTCTTTCCTCGTTCATTCCTTTTACATGACCAAACTACCGAAGCATTCATTTCATAGTACTGTCACCGCATCATCTTACAAACCATACTTTTCTTTTATCCCACAGTTTCTCACCCTGTCACTCAGATTCAGCCCTAACATACTCCTTAGCGACCGCAATTCTACTGCATTTATTCTACTCTCATACTTCTTCTGCCACACCCAACTTTCACTACCATACGTCAAAGTAGGGACTAATACAGCACTGTGAATTGCCATACGTGCCTTTTTTGACACATTCTGACTTTTCACAATATAGTGAAGAGCCCCATTTACTTTATTTCCTGCATTCATTCGTCGTTCAATATCCTTATCATATCTCCCTTCCCTGCTGAATACACATCCCATATATATAAATTCATCTACATGCTCGACCATCTCCCCTTCTATCCTTATTATTTACAATATGTTAATCACAAATTAAAAATAATAATATAAAACAAAACAATAATTACACAATTATGATTCATAATAGGAATTATTTAACAATCACTGATAAGTGATAACATAATATGTGACTTTTTTGTAACATATTACTTTGTACCTAGTTTAATCACTGAATTTACGTGTGCTACTGGAGAAACAAATAAATGCTTTATCTACTTCTTCTTCTTTCTTACTTACTACTTCTAAAATTTCGCCACCAAAGTTATATTTTGATGGTATAATAATACGCTTACGGGCAACTTTGATAAGGTTACATTTGTATAAGTTAAGAGGAAATTTAAATCAGACTAACCAAGAATAGTATAATACAATAATGTCCAAAATACTCGTAACATCAAATGTTTTTAAGTTATTTTAACACTTGTGCAGTGGTGAATAACTTTTCTTTATAGGACACTGCCCACCTGATGGTAAGTGGTTGCTGTGACCCATAAACAGCTACATCTGTCGTCAAATACGATGCGTTGCGAACCACGAATGCAGATGCGTTGTCACTCGTGAGCAATAAGGTGGAATGCCTCGTTTCCAGCAAAGTGGGCCTCCGCTTCTCTACACACACCATACGAAACACAGTAGCGTTAAGCTACTATTTTACGCTGATATTCTGTGAGAGCGTGGTCCTTCCCCGGTCGAGCTGACGCATTCGTGCTACAGCTACACTACTAATATAGCTGCAGCATGACTCATCGTATTACGGCTGCACTGTACCACGGCAAATCTGGCAAATATCCTCTCAATAAGGCAATCTATGAGGAGTCCCAGCAGTGGACCTCAATGTAATAGTAACGAACTCGTTATAATGAACGTATGCATGACACGTCTTACCTATAAACAATGTTCTCCTCGGCAATCGAGACGAACGAGGCATGTAGTTTTCTTGTAATAGATATAATTATAAATAACAAGGAATTCTGGAAAGTGTCTGGAAAGAGGCTACGTCGGATATAGAATAGAATAGAATATTTTGAAGCAAAAATGTAATGTAGTTTTTTTTCATAGAATAGTGTGACAAACGAGCACACAGTCCACCTGATGGTAAGTGGTTGCTGCGGCCCATAGACATCTACATCTATCCTCCATTAAAAATCAAAATGCAGATGCGTTGTCACCCATGAGGACTGAGATGGAATGCCTCGTTTCCAGTAAAAAGGGTCTCCGGTTCCCTACACTCACCATACGAAATACAGCAGCATTAAGCTACTATTTCACGCTGGTATTCTGTGAGAGCGTGGTCCTTTTTCGGTCGAGCCGACCCATTTGTGCTACAACTATACTAATAATATAACTGCAGCATGGCTCTACCACGTATATCACCGTTATCATTTTCGGATTCGGGTCACCGTTATAATGATTTTACCAAACGATATACTGAAAACGGGAAGGTAAATACGTGTTAGTCCCTTTGTGCACACTCACGATTTACGACACCATAATATAATAAATCCTTCGAAATAGATGGTGCTGTAAGCTAGCTTTCCTGCCACGGAGTATGTCTGGATACCAACTTCATAACTTTTTCTGCCCCCAAGCAGCAGTGCACTTGCTGTTGTATTGCTTGAAGTGTAAGGGAGCCAGGGAAATAACAGGCTATGAGGCATTAGTTCCCAGGGGTCATAACGCTTTTCTTATTTATACAAGCAGGTATGCAGGTCTAGAAAAAGCAGTATCCCTACTACCTGTAGGATCTATTGTGATCGCTGATAAGGATATAGTTCAATACTAAGCTATATCTTCAATGAATTGAAGAAGTTGCTTAGTAATTTCACTACTTCTGGGCTAAGTAGGTACATAGTTTCCCAGATGGGTATTACGCTTGCGATTAAGGGTCCACAATCAATTACGATGTGCAGAGGTGTTTCTTCCGTTGTACACAGTACATCTAAGATCTAAGTATGCTTTGTTTGAAGTTGGTTTTATGCCGCAGTTGTCACTTATTAACAGTGGATCCGCCATATACGCCCATACTATGTAGGTACTTATGTACTCGTACATAGCTAGAAGTTGACAACGTATAGAAATGAAAATTTCAGGTGGCTGCTTCGTACTGGCAAATATAGCGTGGGAACACCCTCCACTAGAACAAACATGTACTAAAAACGACCTGTAAGTCGATGGATGTCTGTGGCCTTTGCTGCGATTGCTGGTAATGCGACGATATGTGCAAAAATTTCAAAGTTGTTAATTGATTTCAATTACAAATCCACTATAAAAAATTAAGTATAAGATCACTGGCTGTTTACGTTAGATAACTCACACACAGCCTCAATAGTTAGCAGAAATTGAACAGGAAAATGTTGTTTGCACGTTATATTTAGTTATTATTTGCCTAATATTGACCTTGAGGGAAGGGGAGGGAGGGGGGTTCATCTCAAACTTTATAAAAGACGACCGAAAAACTTCGTTTCAAAACACATTAGGATTTTATCTGCAATCGCATATATTTTATTTATTATTCGATTCGAAAATGAGAACCGCTGTGGTATGTATACGTTATTTTTATTTTACATCGTTTTGTTTGTAATTATTATAATCAAACCATGTTTCATAATATTAAATAGTGATATATATGATGATAGTGAAGCGTTTTATATCCACACATTTTTCATAATTGATTTTCATAATTATACGCCGATAGAGTTTTGCATTGTAAACGTAACAGTAACCATTAGCCATTTGTTCGATTAATTGCTCACTATTGTAATTATAAATACATTTCTACTTATCATACGTATTGTGTCGATAATAATAGGCCCGAACTAACTTTAATGATTAATGATGAGCCGTGGTAGCTCAGAGAGCCGTGGTAGCTCAGATGGTTAACGCTCGCTCTAAATATAACAGAACGCGCGTAACTCGGGTTCGATCCCCGCCGGCACCAATGAAATTGTTAATTGCAATTTTAAATGCCGATTTACCGCGTGCTCGGCGGTGAAGGAAAACATCGTGAGGAAACCTGCATGCCTGAGGAATAAGAGAAAAAAATATTTCGAAGACATGTGAAGTTCCCCAACACGCATTGGGGCAGCGCGGCGGACACTTCTTTGCCCTAAAACCCTCTCAGAAATGAGAAGAGGCCTGTACCCAGGATTGGGACGTATATAGGCTGTAACTTTTTACTTTACTTTTAACTTTAATGATAAACCAAATAAAGCAGGATATCTTATTGATATTGTTTCACCGAACACTCATAACCTCTGAAGACCAATAACAGAAAAAAATGAATAAATACAGTGAATTAAAAGAGGAAATACTAAGAATATGGAAAATGATAAAAATATATATACATTTTATCGCTGGCCGGTACTTTTTAGTACAGTCGTAATTCCTTAAAATCTACAATTAACAATTAATTATTATAATATTATTTTAAAATTAATTACAATTACAAATATCGCAAAAAAAAAACACTTAATTAATCATTAGAAAGCAGCAACAGTGACCACCTGCTTCATTGTCTGTTAATTTTTGCAACAATAAAAATAAAATATTGAAGCTCACATTGCTTAGGTCCGCGAACTTCATCATACCAAGATTATTTCATGTTATTTTACACGTGAGCATAATATAATAAATTTATACATTACATTTTTTTAAATTACTTATTAGGTGAGTGTTAATTTTTATTGGGCATCAACAACCATGACCTTAAAATGCACTTATGTAGTTAAATAGTGTTAAATAAACACTCAATCAACGTCCAAACAATAATGTTGTGATCCGTGGCTGTCTGACCTTAGCTTCTAACAACTTTATCTTATCGTCTAGATAATGATGATTTATGAGTTACAGTGTATATATTGATTTTTATTATAAAACATAAATTTTAGTCGAAACTAAGTACGAACTTTATTGTGTGTATTTTAGGCTATTTCGTGAGTAAAAATGTATTGTTTTATTTCTTTACAGATCCTTTTATTCGCTTTAGTAGCGTTCGTCGCTGCTCAGGGAGGTAAGCTTTTTTCATGCTCTATTTTGTTGTTATAAAGAACAAACATATTTTCCGATATTTTCTTATTAATTAAAAAATGTATTTTATCAGAGTTCAAAAAAGGAGATGGTTCTATATTCTTCGCGCTTATACTTTTTATGTCTATCCACCGATTTCTGGGAAACGGCGGATTTGATTTAAATAAAGCCAATATCTGAAAATTATATTTTTTAGTTTCAATGTCTTTCTATTAGAAGTTTAATTATTATTTTACCATTAATATAATATAATTATTCCTTTAACAGAATAATACCTACACTGTTTATGTGTATTGTTTATTTTTACATAATTTAGTAATGTGTAATTTATGTAATTATTTCAAATACTAACAACCGACGCTGTACTGGTCTAACTATATATAGAAGGTATGAATTTTGATTGAGCATCTTGTTGGTACTATCTACAAGCAACGGGACCTGCTTACTCAAAAATTCAGAACAATACGCTCCAACAATGCCGTTATTAAAGTATTTCCATACAGAAATCTGATTATGATTCTGATCAGATTATTAATTTAAACTATAAATGTTTCATAATAATCATAAGTTATAAATAATATTGTGGCGTTGCTTTAAAATAGGCCTCAAGAGTTACATGCGGGTTCTTCTCTGAAGTCTTGTTTTTTGTTCAAATTATTTTGTGAACCAGTATAGATTTTTACGTTCACAAGAGCTTTACAGTACGCGACCAACCCGGGTTCGGTTCCCGCCGGCACCAACGAAATCGTTAATAGCAATTTCAAGTGCTGGTTTACCACGTACTCGAAAGTGAAGGAAACTATTGTGAGGAAACCTGCATGTCTAAGAAATACGAAAAAAATATTTCGAAGATGTGATGTTCGCCAACACGAATTGGGGCAGCGCGGCGGACATTTTCTTGCCCTAAAAACCCTCTCAGAAATGAGAGGATGCCTGTGCCCAGGCGTAGGACGTATATACGCTGTAACTTTGAGAGCTTTACAAGCCTATTAAATTTTAATTAAAAGTTATGACTTTGACTTTTAAAATTTCTGTGGTCTTAATTTTCTCAGAATACATATAATGCCGGTCCTATACAGTACAGAATTTTTACCGTCTTTCAAATATGATATTAATAACTATACCTTAATATTACACAGTCACTTTTGTTAACGTCTTTGTTTGTCTGATGTATATTAGAAAAATAGAATAATTTAATAGACATAAAGTAAATAGAATAGAAACCAGATGTAGATTATAAAGAGTTTATTACAGTTTAAAAGTTGCTAACTTTCATTATTATTATTGCAAGCCATCACAACACCACTGTTCAACATACCACCTCCACATGCGCCTACAACCACATGCTCACTAGGTTTGCTAGATTGGAAGACTAAAATATCTGGTTAATTTTGATCACGTCGGCATTATGGGTTTGTTGTTGTAAACACTAAAAATAAAAAAATAAAAAACAAAAAGTACTTTAAACAAAACTAATTGTAGTATACTTAATTTTAAGGTTGCCACGTGTATATGTCATTAGACTTTCCTAGAGTTCACCAATTTGGATCCTTTAGTAGTATTCAGAAAATATTTAAAATTCAAACAATTTACTTCGAAGTTCAGTTTAATTACTAACTCAGCTTTTATTAAATCAAAGGCTATACGTTAATTTTCCGAGAAACTGTTGGTCTGGAGATTTTGAGTGTTGTCGGGAGTCTGGAGATCATTTAAAATATCGGGATAATCTAGACGATTCCGACCATCTGGCAACCCCAATACTAACTCAAAGCTCGCTTCTGAACCACCTGGTGAATTAAAAAAAATTTCATGGGGCTCATGGCCAATTTACTAACCGGGTTTATATTAATTGAAGTTATTTTTTTATAAACACTATACCGTAAGGTGTTTTATAGTTATATAATTACTTATTGATATTGCATTATAAACATTTCATTACAGTGCACGTAGTGGATTACAATTAATTACAATTACTAATGTTTTTAGCTCTATTAGCTTTGTTTTATTTTTATAGCATAGGGTGACAAACGAGCACACAGTCCACCCGATGGTAAGTGTTTGCTGCGGCCCATAGACTACATTTTTTTTGCGCCCGAAGCAAATATGGGCAACCCTCCGGAAAGCGGGGGAGGGAGGTTGAGAATGCTCATAGCATACCACGCAGCCGGCTGCGTGGTTATGTGGAGACTTTTACCCACTAAACTCAACCTTTTGGGAATTGGCTTAACGATCTGACTAGAGATCTCTAAGCCGTATACGAACGCGACCCTCCTTGGCAGAAAGGAGGGCGCAAACCGACATCTACATCTATCCTCGATTACAAACCAAAATGCAGATGCGTTGTTACCCGTGAGATCTAAGATGGAATGCCTCGTTTGCAGTAAAAAGGGTCTCCGGTTCTCTATACTCACCAGAAGAAACACAGCAGCATAAGCTACTATTTTACGCTGGTATTTTGTGAGAGCGCGGTCCTTCCCCCGGTCGAGCCGACCCATTCGTGCTAAAACTATACTACTAATATAACTGCAGCATGGCTCTACCACGTATACTGCAGCATGGCTTTACCACGTATAAAACTTTGTTGTTGTATAATAATAAGTATAGCGACTGTTCCGCGAATCGGTATCGTCTATTCGATTAGAACAGGGTTACGTAATACCTTTTTTTTAAAAATTGCTATTAATTTGTAGGAAAAACGTCACATTATATTCGGATACATTTAAATTGTTCTCATAGACTCTCATTCTTCATATTTCGTTTCAGTGAATGTAAAAGTAAAGTAAAGTTACAGCCTATATACGTCCCACAGCTGGGCACAGGCCTTCGCTCGTTTCTGAGAGGGTTTTAGGGCAAGGAATTGTCCGCCGCGCTGCCCCAATGCGTCTTGGCAAACTTCACATGTCTTCGAAATTCTTTTTTCAGTGATTGTAGTGGATCGTAATCCATTAGAAGATATGTCTTTTCTATATTTTAAATGAGGACATTCACGACTTTTTCTGCCACCAGGGTGGCGCCACTTAAAAATGAGGTGTAATATTTGACAGTTTTCATAGCAGGTTAATTTGTTCGAAAAACGTAAAGGTTAATACTTCCTTCAGTACTATTTGTTATATTTTATATTAATTAGATTAAAAATAAATAAATCGAAGTACAAAAAGTAAGAAAATTTTAAAATTTGTTAAAATGTGCAAAAAATTAAAGAGTAAACCACTGACGCATTGTTTTGTTTATATAATCTATTACTCTAAAAACTCATAAGCTTTTATTTAAAAATAATATCTCAGTTTATTTATTTATTTTTATTTATTCACTCTTTATTGTACACCAAAATATAAAATATCAAGTATAGTTAAATCTAAATTAGAATATGTACAATAGGCGGTATTATCACTCTGAAAGTGATTTCTTCCAGAGAACCTTTGCTTAGAGAACTGACGCAAACAAAAGTTAAAATAGAGGGGGTGTACAAAATAATAAAAAAAAATATAAAAATACATAAAAATAAAGATAAGTGAAAATTATATATATATATATAATTAATTATTTATAATTATTATATGATATTTTATATAAATGATATATAAAATATCATATAATAGATTAAATGAAAAGAGTACGAGAAAGAAAAAGTAATTTATCTAATAGCGTTCTAAGTAATACGATTTAATAAGACTTTTGAAAGAGTGAAGAGATTTAGCACGACGAATATGGAGAGGTAAAGAGTTCCACAATGGCACAGCAGTTACGGTAAAGGATTTCTTAAAAAAGTTTGATGACTTGTGTGACAAAAAACTTCACCTCAGTGTCAACTAGCGACATTTCGTGAGCGGAAGTTTATTAGCCCTCATTAACATAACTTTAATTCATTGTATCATAATCATTACTGCAGTTAATCTAAGTCCACTGCTGAACGTGCTACAGCGCACGATCCTAAACCACCTGCATCCACCAATTTTCGGCTCGTTTTGCGTTTATAAATTTTTTCATCAATGTTTTGTTGGTAAAACATATACCTATGTAAATATATGTTTTACTCATAAATTATTTTTTGTTTGTAAAAAATGTCATGCGTTTTTTGTTATTCGTTACAGTTCATGTCGTGGATCGTAATCCCGCCGAAGGTACTTACTTTTGTTTATTGTTCGAAAATATAACAATTTAAATTCTTTATAAATAAAACGTTTTCCATACGAACTCATTGCTAAAATTATTTTTTCATTACAGTACAAGTAGTAGACAGCAACCCGTCAGCAGGTTCGTAGTCAAAATATTACAAAATAATACATTATCATATTTAAAACCATCGTGGATCCTTAATAAGCATTAGAAAGTTATTCAGTAACATACATATTTTTTATATTAGAATACACTTTTATAATTCTCATAGATCTTTTTCCACACGAACAGTCTTTACTTAATTTTTTCTTAATTTGTTTTTTTTTTCATTACAGTGAACGTAGTAGATCACAACCCATCAGCAGGTTCGTAATAAAAATTATTAAAAATATATTAGTGCTTATAAAGGCGTGCTAGCTCAAAATTAAGATCCCTGACGGCACCAATTAAATTATTAATTTAATTTTAAGTGCTCAGCGATGAAGAAAAACATCGTGAAAATATAGACTATTTCTGACACATGTAAAATCCGCCATTATGTATTTGAGCAGCGCGGCGCAGCGCAGCAATTGTCCTATATCCCTCTTAGGACTCTTGTACACGCTAAGAAAATTCACCGGGTCTATGCAAGAATTCGTGTCGTTTCGTCAAGGAATTCACAAGAAATTTCACCGTGTCTGCGGCAGATAAGACTAATTCGTCATGTATACGACAAGAATTTTGTCGGATCTAGCCACAGAAATTTGTCTTGTCTGCTTCAGACGAGATAAATAGAGACGTGTAAACGATAAGATCGTATTAGTCAAGTTTGTTTGTAATTAATAGAATCATGTTACCAACGAAGCAAAAAATGATCGTTGCATATTATATATATATATATATATAATATATATATATATATATATATATATATATGAAAAAGTACGTAAACACGTCCACACATGTACAAAAAACCCAAATTATCTGAAGCAACTCACCTACTCCGTCCCTCCCTTCACTGCAACAACACAGAGCTCGTCTTGTCTAGCGCGAACAAGATTTTTTTTCTTTGTCAGCGCCGGAGCATTGTACACATTTCGTGTGTAGAAACCAAGAAACGACACGAATTCTTGCATAGAGCTGGCGACTATTCTTAGCGTGTATATGAGCCCTTGAGTCTGTGGTCGTCAGTGGGAGGTACTCGTACATTGTCTGTTGATATAATTTTTCACATGTGTTATAACATTATTTCAATTCAAATGAATGAACTATTTTTTAAAATATGACATAAAATTCACCTCCAGTTTTTTATACATGAACACACCACAACCCCTTAGCAGGTTCGTAGTTGATATATTAGACCGTTAGACGGGAATTAAGCTGGGGTTATTTTAAGTACACTAACATTAGCCGTAACCGTAATGTGTTTTGGACGATCCTAAAATCTAAATTTTAATAATTCCTTTCAATTCTTTAATAGGCTCAGATATCCAATTATTAACTAGATAACACTATGTCTCAATAGCATCCCTCTTTATAACAAGTAATAATGCGTCAATATTAACAACTGTATGTACAATAATAAAATATATACGTTGTTGTAATTTAAAATTTAAGCTACGTTTTAACGGTCTTATTATAAAACGTAGTTTATTAATAGCCTCGAGTTTAAAAAATAGTATTTGTCACAATAGAAGTTCCTCAGGCGCGAAATTTGATATTTGCCGCCAAATTACATAAGGTGCATTGGAGCAATTACGAAAATGGGTATATTACGATTTATATTAATTTCTACCAAACGCAGCCACTTATTTACCGGTTTCAACCCGAAAGACAATGGGTGATTATGATGGCATCTAATCATATGTTGCTAATAAATATGTAGGTATCGCAGCGTTTGGTAGAAATTAATATAAATCAGAATATAACCATTTTCGTGACTGCTCCAATGTATACAATCCACAATACTGTACATTTTAGTTCGCATATTTTCCGTGGAACTTCTTTATTGATACATACTTCAGTTTAAACCTGCGACTAATAATTATAAACTACTTTTTGTATATTAATACGGTAAGTTGAATATGGAATTGCACGTTGTTGGTAGTATCTACTATCACAGCTTATAAACTTTACTCTATAAACTGTGGTACTTACTATTAGGTATATATATGTGGGTTAGGGTTTATGATATCTAAAAGTAATTATTATACTAGTTATTTGTATTAGGTTTGGTTTTATATTACCTTGAAAATATGTTTGTTGTTTAATAGCAATACCTAGATTAAACAATAATCTAAATTAATTTTACGTTTCCATTTTATTTGCAACGTACTTGAATGACCAATAATATGACTTTGCATTGGTGCCCGAGTTTTGCTAATAAGTGATATATTTCAGGTCAGGGTCAGCCAATCAATAACCCGGATGGTTGTAAGTATGACACTTTTTTGCTTACCTTTAATTAAAAAAGTTCATGAGTGTTGATCATTGAAGTATTATGCGTAATAGCTCAATGGTGTTGATTAAAAAAATTTAAAAGTAAATTTGCTACATACATAAGTATAAACTGCATCTTATTTATATCCAAACTTTTAGTAGGTAATGCTACTATCTTTTAATAAAGAGTAACTTACAAAAAGCCTGTTACGGATTTGGTAAAATTAGACAAAAGTAACAAAATGCTAATTAATCATAAGTATATTGATTAATTGCTTCATTTAAAAACAAAATTGATATATTCAATGTATTAGTTGCACTTGCATGTGGCGTACTCGTATAAAAATAATACATCCTTTCCTTCCCATTGCCTATAAAAGTAGATTAAGTCACGTCATGAAATCCCCTATTTTGCCGTAATTGCCACGCTAAGCGGGCGGGTTGATAACTGTAGTATTAGGTTTGCGGTGTAGGTACTGGAACTTTAATTAGACTGGCCTGTTCTAAACCAAACACTAATATAAATTGTCGTGGGTCTACACTACATCACACCTACCACTGACAAAACAAAATAAAAAAATAAATATATACAACATTTTTTATATAAAATTATGAAAATAATACCTCTTTAAAGAGTTGGTATAAATTACATAGCAAGCTTCCCTCCCCCAACTCTCTCCCCCATAAATCGGATGTCATTACGAAAACAGAACCTCAAGATGAAATTTTTAAAAATTTATAAAAAGAAAACTAAGCATGTCCGGCAGGGGGGAAGTGGGGGCAACTCTGCAACTCCCACGTCTCCCTCTCCATCACGCACCAACCCCTAATTCAGACGATTTAATTTTAAACCTTACCCTATAATTTTATTTATATTTAAAGAAGATTGCAGAAAATTATTTTAAGATAAATTTAATAATGACAAAGACAATGAAGAATCAAGAATTTTACGTGCTGATGAAGAAAAAGAATATTCTAAAACTTTTGGCTGGAACGATGACAAAACACCAAAAATTTTCGTTGACCTCTAAGATCGTTGATATTCTTCCAAATCTAAATAGTGGTTTACTATTTATAGGTGATTCTTCGATTATTATTATGTGGAAAAATTGTAAATTGGTAGTCGATTGTTTGTAATATTTTTATACACTTATAATTCTATAAATATGTCAGTGTTTCTTTTTTATTTTCTACTTTTTTGTTGCAGTTGTGATTGACCAGGCCTTTTACCAACCAAGTAATCGTAAGTATTGCTTTACTAAAAAATAAAAACGTACAAATTTATCGATTAAGGAATTATTCATATCAGACTGGCGACATAGTGCTGCGTTAGAGGTCATCAGCAACTGTGATCACTAATTCCACCGCTAAGCATATCGATTGCGGCAAATCCTACATAAAATGTACTCTTAAATTGAAGCGAGAATCAAACTCAGTCCACCGGATGGCAAGTGGCTTACTACAATCCAGGGTTTCCAGCATCCAACTTCAAACAAAGAAGGCTACAAATGCGTTGTCGCCTAAAAAAGATCAAAGAGACGCATCCCGTCTACTTGTCGACAAAATTATGTAAAAGGGTAGTCTACTCACAGGGACTCTTAGGCAAAAAAGGAGCTTTACCAAGAATATAGTGTGTGGTTCTACTGCGTAAAAATTTTGAACCACGCAAATCCCAGCCAAAGAAAAATCACAATTTAATGGCTTCGGGTCTGGTATTGTTGTGATTATCCCCGTACGTCTTAGTCCACCACCGATCTCGTTTACAAGTATATGACTTCGGGTACAGATTAACTAGGTAGTGTTACGTATGTGCTACTTCGGGTACGGATGAACTTTAACGTGTTATGTTTGTACTACATCGGGTATGGATGAGCTAAGACGTGTTATGGATGTGCTACATCAGGTACGGATGAGCTAGTACGTGTTACATATGTATTACATCGGGTACGGATGAGTGAATACGTGTTACGCATGTGGTACATCGGGTACGAATGAGCAAATACATGTTACGTATGTGCTACATCAGGTACGGACGAGCTACGACGTGTTACGGATGTGCTACATCAAAAACGGATGGGCTAGAACGTGTTACTTATGTGCTACATCGGGTACGGAAGAGCTAAGACGTGTTATAAATGTGCTACATCAGATACTTATGAGCTAGTACGTGTTACGTATGTATTACATCGCGTACGGATGAGCGAATGTTACGTATGCGCTATATCGGATACCAATGAGTAAATACGTGTTACGTATGTGCTACATCGGATACAAGTGAGCTAGGACGTGAGATTGTCTATGTAACGAGTACCCTTATAACATGATAATAATTATCTCCTGCGCAATAGATACCGTTTACTCAAAATTAGTCGTCGTAGTTAAAAAGTGTCCCAGTGATAAATTTAATTTTTTTTCACGTCCGCGCTAGGAATTTCTCTGGGAAAGTTCAAATACATAAATTTTACATAGACAAACGTCCAAACCCGAAACAATTATTATCTGTGGGCCATACAAATACTTGTTCCGTGCGGGATTCAAACCCGCGGCCCTCAGCACTGCAATTCATTGCTAAGTCACTGCGGCACGGAGCCGTCAATTTAATTATAAATTCTATTCTAATTACTAAAATTTTATTTACTCAATACTTGAATTATATTTTTCAGCGTCCAATGGGGGCTATGGTCAATATGGTAAGTTATGTTTAATTTAAATTTACTTATACAACTATTAGTTTCATCAGAATAAAAAAGTGACAGCTTATAATCTTTTTTCATCTCTGAGAGATATGGAGCAATTATTAATATTGGTTGTTAACCCACGTTTTGTCGGTCTTGTTACAAAACGCAGTCTGACGTGATCGTGTTGTGGCGGTGCAAAATTTTTTTTTTTTTTGCGCCCGAAGCAATTAAAGGGCTACGCTATACGTAGGGAGGCGGAAAATGCATTACGCATACCACGATAGCCGGTCTATCGTGGTTATGAGGGGCTCACTGTCCTACCGGGGACCCTAAGTGATACCCTCTAAAAACCGCCTTTGGGGACAGGCAACCGGCTGATTAAGCTCTATTGTGCCTTATCATGAGCGACCCTCTTTTGGGAAAAGAGGGCGCAGGCGGCTAAGTGCCGCTGAGGGAGTGCCTACGAAGGCAAGTTAATGTTAGATATTACAATAATTTTATTTAATTAGAGTTGGCCTGAGCTGCCAGGAGACAGTTCAGGTCGTTTGAAAGTTTATTAGGCGGGTCCGAGAGAGAGTTTCTCGGCCTGCGGACACGATAGCGAGAGGGGGGTGGGGCTGCATAAGAAGCTGCCTCACGAATTAAGTGGTTTGGGTGCGACTCTGAGGCTTTGAAGAAGTTCTCAGAGAGTTTTTTAAGAAATTGTTGAATTGTTGGGAGCTCTAAGTCCCGATGAAGGTCGGCATTGCGGACTTACCACGGTGCGTTCGCAGCTTGACGACAGAATAGGTTCTGAACTATTTGGAGTTCATTTAAAATGTTAGGGTTTGCGTGGGCAAAGACGGGGCCCGCGTAGGACATGACTGGGGGTGCAAAATTTACCACTACCCTATTTATAGTCGCCTGGATATTGTAAGAGGCGACAGAGACCTACGTTCAGCTGTGGATTATAATGGGCTATAACGGTTACAAAACGTGGTTATTTATAACATCGGATTTTATAGAAAAGTCATTGTAATTAATATAAAAACATTCGTTATTGTAAATTTATATATATATATATATATAGTTATTGTTATTGTAAATTTTATATTCTATTAGTTATTGTAAATAAATCACAAAAGAAGTCAATTAGACGTGCATTTGAATGACATATTTTTTGGGATAATAGAATACAAAAGAAAACAAAATTAGATTATTAGTTAAATAAATCCAGATTATTAATAATCGAGATTTCTTTTACTTTTGTATACTATTTTTTCAACGCACTTTAACAGTTTATATTGCTTTACACTGATGGCTGAGCTCAACTACTAAGTGATTTATTTTCAGGTCAGGGCCAGCCGCTGAATAACCCGGATGGTTGTAAGTATGATACTTTTTGTTTCCCTTTGATTTGAAAATTTGATGTAATTTGGTCAAGTATAATCGACAAAAAACTGAAGAGCAAGAATAAGCAATTTTTGGTTAATATTCATTTTTAAAAATAATTAGATAAGAGTCAGTAGAGTTTGTAGTTGTAATATGACCCAGACGTTTGATTATGTCCACTACCCTTACCTTTGACCTTATAGAATCTTACTTTAACAATAGAATACAAATAAATGAAATTAAGAAGGTTAATAAATACGTAGAAACATTATGATCGTCGGAACGTAAAGTCAGCTTTGGAGTTTCGCAAGGAAGTGTACTCGAACCGTTACTATTTCAATTATATATTAATGACCTACCTAAATACACAGAACAACCGTTGATGCTTTTTGCAGATTACAGCACCGTAATAATACCTTGTAAAATATTAATACATACGAATATGACATAAACAATTCTCTAAAAAAATATAAAATGGTTAGCCACAATAATTTAACAATAAAGCAAGAGAAAGGTTATATATTTGAGTCAACGCAAACTCGATAATAGTAAACACATAATACAATATAATGACTACAATAAAATCACACATTAGGATTCTTTGTAAAAAAATTTAAGTAAGTCTGCTTATGATCTAGGCATATTGTCATCTACAATTTGTACGGATGGACTCCTTGCTGCGTATTATGGTATGGTAGAAACATAACTAAGATATGGCGTAATATTTTGGGGTAACTCTTGCGAAAAGGGAAAGGTATCCACAGCCCAAAAATATCTTCTTTTAAACTGAAGCACCAATAAATGCAAGCCAATTTTATAAAACTTTAACTGTTAATATATATATATATATATATATATATACAGTAATATTTAGGTACTTATAATACAGTATTTTAATATAAAAATACACTACACACTGAGATATAATCCCCTCCCCCTCTATTGGCAGCCATTGTTTTTTTCTTGAATATTCTCTACGGTTTACGAAAAAAGTCATATCTCTCAAAGTTTTAGTCACATAACTCGGAGGCCAATAATATTGTTTATCGTTTACATTATAAAATTTTTTGTTGACATCCTTGTAACTAAAAAAATCACAAGACTACAATACAACAAAAGTTTACAGCTCTTTATTACTTTAAGAATTATGTGTTTGAACATGTATCCAACAAATTTGTTAAGTACAACTGCACTCCTGTCAGGAGTAATAGTGTTCTGTGCTGCCTCTCTCAAATTATACTACTTATAAATGAATCTGATCTCATCTCAATTCATCGAAGATCATAAGTATCTCATATTACTATTATTTTCAATATATATATATATATATTGGAAATAGTAAACAGAACTGTTTTAAGTGCCTAGGAGACCTTGCCCCACGAAACAGACGCGACAATAGTAGAGTTTATATTCCTAGGATAAAAACGGCACTACTACGCAACACTGCCTGCTGTATGGGACCAGGTATTTACAACAAATTACCCAAGTTTTGGAGGAATCCCAACACTACATTATTTAAGATAAGACTACGAAACAAACAAACAAACAAAGTGCAGTTTTTAGCAAACAAAGTGTACAATAATGTTAATGAATTTTTAATGGACAAAATGTTATATTAAAAATTGTACGTTTTTCACATAAATATTTATATTTATAGTATGTATTTTTTATTATGAATGTAATTAATTCGACGATTGCTTATAATAATTAAATAATAGTGATAATAATGTACCGTTTGACTTATTAGGCTTACATGTAATTTTAATAGACATAATTGTAATCTATTTAACAGAGTCATATACACACACATAGTTGTAATCTATTTAACAGTGGTAGTGCCACGCGGCATCTTTGCTGTTGCACCTATGGGCCGGCTCAAACCGGGGTGGTACCACGACCTCATAGAATACCGGAATGAAGTGGAAGCTCTGCTTCCGCGTTTCGTCTGGTGAGTGCAAGTGGCCGGAGGCCCAAAACCCCCCCCCCCATTAACATGTTAGCGGAATTAAATGATAATAGACTACCCCAGGAGGGTACCAGCACCCCTGGAGAATCCCTCGCTGAGCATCCACGACCATGTTTCTCCACTTCTGAGCGTGGGTGCTCAGGCTCCCCGCGTATTCTGGGGGGGGGGGGCGGCAAAATTCCGCTCAAGACTACAATTGCTCGGGGCAAACGGAGCAACAAGACCAAGGCGACCCCTGCCACGCTGTCCGTGAATTTCTGCAATATCAGGGGACTTCACTCTAACCTAAACGCCGTCCACTACCATCTCGAGACGGCGAGGCCGGCTCTGCTCTTTCTGACCGAGACGCAGGTGTCCTCTCCGGCTGATGTCTCGTATCTCTCCTTGACATCTGTTATCGATGCCTCGGCAGACTTGAAGGTTCGGACCTGTCCATCCTTTGGCTACGCGTAGACAGCGACGACCATCCGCGCGTCTAAGGGTGCCTCTATAGGTCCCATAGTGGTAATGCCGAAACAGACCGACTCTTCGACCACGTCCAAATGGCTACAGATTCGTTGCTACAGCAGATCCCCTCCTCAGAGATCGTGATCCTCGTCAACTTTAACGCCCATCACGCCGAATGGCTTGGTTCACGTTTAACCGATCATGCGAGGAGATCTGTTCATGATTTTGCCTTGGCATATGGTCTGACACAACTGGTTACTTCGCCTACGCGGATTCCAGATGTGGAGGATCATGCACCTTCCCTGTTGGACCTTCTGCTGACCTCTCACCCAGACGGATATCAGATTTCCGTCGACGCCCCTTTAGGCTCCTCGGACCATTGTCTTGTTCGGAGTGTGGTGCCACTCACGCTGAAATCGCAGTTGCATTCTGCAGGCTGCCGCCGTGTTTGGCACTATAGGTCAGCCGATTGGGATGGGATGCGGTCTTTCTTTGCATCCTACCCTTGGGGGCGGGTTTTCTTCTCGCCGGACGATCCAACTTTGTTACGGATTCTGTCGCTGATATGGTACTTCAGGGTATGGAACTTTTTATTCCTTCCTTTGTGGTGCCCATTGGAGGCAAATCTCAGCCATGGTTTGGTCGCTCCTGTAATATAGCATCACGCTATAAGCAGAAGTGCTACCAAGCCTGGGCTGACGCATCAGCGTCATGGGATGTAAACACCAGCGCTCTAAAAAAGAAGTATAATTCCGCCTCTAGGTCCTTCAAATTCATTGCCAAGGCAAAGTCAGAGCACATAGGCAGAATTGGCGAGAAACTAGTTCGCCTTCCTTCTGGAACCCGTGCATTCTGGTCTCTCGCCAAGGCTGTCCAGGGGAATTTCTGTCAGCCATCTCTTCCATCTCTGCACAGGGAGGACGACTCACTGGTCCATACCGCAAAGGAGAAAGCCGATCTTCTAGGCTCTTTCTTTGCGTCCAACTCGACTCTCGATGACGGGGGGAGCACACCGCCGACCATCCCGCGGTGTGAGTGCTCCATACCGGAAGTACAGTTCACACAGCGCTCGGTTCGCAAAGCACTCCTCTCCCTGGACATCCACAAGTCGAGTGGGCCTGACGGAATCCCCCCAATTGTGTTGAGGACGTGTGCTCCAGAGTTGGCATCGGTTTTAACGCGTCCTTTCCGATACTCCTACTCCCTAGGCGTAGTCCCAAAATCATGGAAGACGGCTTTCGTCCACCCGATCCCTAAAAAAGGCGACCGCTCAGACCCGTCCAACTACAGGCCTATCGCCATCACCTTCTTGTTCTCCAAAACAATGGAGTACCTTGAGGATCACCAGCTGATTAGTGACCACCAATACGGTTTTCACCGTGGTAGGTCAGCTGGTGATCATCTGGTCTACCTAACTCCCAGATGGGCGGAGGCAGTAGAGTCCAAGGGGGAGGCATTGGCCGTTAGTTTGGACATTGCGAAGGCCTTCGATCGGGTTTGGCACAAAGCGCTTCTTTCGAAGCTCCCATACTATGGGCTTCCCGAGAAATTGTGCGATTGGATCACCAGCTTCCTTGCAGATCGGGGCATCAAGGTCGTTGTAGACGGTGCAAGCTCCGATTGCAAGCCTATTAATGAAAAAGAAGCCTAAAAAGAACCCCTTTGTCGCATCTCTTCTATTCTATCACTTGGAAGAAGAGGCCAAATTGGCCTCTAAAAAAGCTTGGCGTGCTCAGCAGAGCGGGACAGTATTTCATGCCGGCACACCGCCTGCAACTTTACAAGGCGCAGGTTCAGCCGCACATGGAATACTGTTCCCATCTCTGGGCTGGGGTTCCCCAGTACCAGCTCCTTCCACTTGGACGCATCCAGCGCAGAGCGGTTGGAATCGTCGACGACCGAGTGCTTTCCGATCGGCTCGATTCACTGGCACTGCGAAGAGATGTTGCATCTCTTTGCATTTTCTTTCGCATATACCATGGAGAGTGCTCTGAGGAATTGTTCGGATTAATCCCAGGCGCCAAATTTCGTGAACGCACTACGCGGCAAACGTACCGATACCATCCACACCATCTGGATGCTTGGCGGTCTACCATTGTACGTTTCAAGAGGAGTTTTCTTCCACGTACGACTTTTCTGTGGAATAGTTTATCACCAGCGATTTTTCCGGACCGATACGACCTGGGGACTTTCAAGAAAAGACGCACCTGCAATTCCCCTGGTGTTGCGGTTGATCATGGGCGGCGGTAGTCACTTAACATCTGTTGAGCCGCACGCTCGTTTGCCCCCTCTTCTATAAAAAAAAATCTAATGTGATATTGTGTTGCGAATGACATATCTAAGTAAATTCATAAAAAAATATTTCATATTTTTTGTATGCCTTCTGGTAAAATATGGTGGAATCTGTACTGTATATTTGTCACCACATTCTGTATTATCTATATTTGAAAAACAAAGAAATTAATTCATCCATTCATTCACTCATTCTAGCAGGGGACTTTTATAAGGACGTAGAATATTCAAAAGTTTTTTTTCTGGAACAATGACAGAACACCAAGTAATGACAAGATACATTACTCGTTAATGACCTATTTGTGGAGAAATGGTATTTGTTTTAAATAAAATTATATGCAATCGTCATAAAAAGTCATAAAATATCATTAAAACATTTTACATCTAAAATATATTTAGTTGCTTTTATTTTATGACTAAGTTTTTAGTGTTAAGATGTGATTGTTGAAGAAGTAATTGGCACTTTTATTATTCGTGTATTTGATGTCCATACTCTTCTGTTACAGTTGTGATTGACCAGGCCTTTTACAGACCAAGTAACCGTAAGTATTGCTTTACTAAAAATATAAAATTAAAATCACATTCGTTTGACGACTCGTATTATCCATCCCATCATAAAATATACTTTTATAATATCCAATATACAGTACGATGATGATGTAAATTAAAAATGCGAATTTTAATTTTAATTTAATGGCTACTGCTTTTGAGGAATAAAATGAACGATTATTATCAAAGGGATAACAAGGGGGTGGAGGGAAGCATGGCTCCGGTCGGCATGTTTTAGGTAGCATTTTGCGAATAAAACTGAACTTTGATTTTTACCCATCTTATCTTTCTAAATAATGCTAATAAAAATCTTAAAAGTCTAGAAATTTGCTGGGATTAAATAATAATAATGCTTTGATTTAAATATCAGAAACGATGTACCGAGTAAAAGTAATGAGATATGCAAATTTCAGCCAAAATAAAATCACAATTTTTAGTCGGATCTGACTATGTTGTAATTGTACTCGTGTATCTGACCCTATGTTGTAGCCTATTTCTGTACTGGTTTATGCATACTTTAGTGGGTACGGATGAGCTAGAATGTGTTAGGTATATGCTTCATCAGATGCGGATGAGCTAAGACGTGTTACGTTTGTGCTACATCGGGCACGGATGAGCTAAGACTTGTTACGTATGTGCTACATGGGGCACGGATGAGCTAAGACGTGTTACGTATGTGCTACATTGGGTACAAGAGAGCTAGGACATGAGATTGCCTATGTAGCGAATACGCTTATAGTACGATGATATTATGTGGTGATGATCCTCTTCCTTGACGTGGTTGGAAACTATCCTGTGAGAAATCATAATAATTAGCAAGTCTCAATAAATATCAATCTCAATATGTGAATTTCAATATATAGTAAAGTAAAAAAGTAAAGTTACAGCCTATATACGTCCCACTGCTGGGCTCAGGCCTCCCCTCATTTCTGAGAGCCGTGGTAGCTCAGTGGTTAACGCTCGCTGTAAATATAATTTCAATATATGTTTTTACAAAAATGTAAATTCAATTTTATTTTTCAGCTTCCAATGGCGGCTATGAACAAATAAGTGAGTATTGCTTTGTTTTTAATTTACGATAATAACTATTAGTTTAATAAAAAGTAATACAAATAGACCTTCCTTCTTTTCTGAGAGTCATATGGAGCAACTAGTCCGTATATGTATGTAGGTGGTCTGAAAAGTTTTCGATCTAATAAGGATACAAGAGATTTTTTCTTAAAATTTATTCTTATGTTTCTACATAGTCTTCTTGTAGCCCTACATACCTCTCCCAACGATGCTCCCATCTCTCTGACCTGTTCAAATAGTACTCAGCGTTTTTCTCTACAAAATAATTTTTCACAAAGATGATTGCCTTATAATTTGAAGAAAATATCTATCCTCCGAGCGTAATTTTTAGATGAGGGAACAAGAAGAAGTCGCTTGGGGCTAGATCTGGCGAGTAAGGCAGATGGTCAAGCAGTTCAAAGTAATTCGTGGATTTTCACCATGGCAACCGCTGAGGTGTGAGATGGCGCGTTGTCACGGTGAAATAGGATGATTTATTATATTTACGCAAACACTACACATTAATTAAAACTACTTTTACGGATTTCATCGCGTTTAATTTTAAATGATTTATAATTCCCGACGTGTCGGGTGCTTTCTAGCACCCATGGTCACAAGGGACTGAGGTGACTGACGTCCCGATGTCAATGTGAACCTGGAGTACCTTCAGCTTTTTAATTATTATTTATGGTCAGATCTACGCAGAATGAACTTACGGTTTTTTGCATTCTTGCAGTAGTATGTTTGTCAATCAATAATGTAATTTTTTTACCACCAAATATCTTTTTCCTTAAACGATATATCGATACGAAGCGATATTTAATACTTCGTTCAATAAAAGTAAAAAATAATAATCATCTAAAAATTAGTTATTTTTATAACAAATAAATAAAAGTAGTAATAATTATCAGCGATAATGTAAATATAGGACTCACGGTTGCAAATTATTGCACTTATTGCTCTGATTGAAATATGTTGTGATGGGATCGCATACACTAGTATAAAATTGTTTGTGATGTTTGTTTTCAGCCACGGTCTTTTTTTCTTTATATTACGACAAAATATCAATCAGATGTCACATTTCTTAGAATAATCCTAGGGGGCGTCCATAAATTACGTGAGATGTTTAAGGACGGAGGGGGTCGAGTCAAATCTCATCTAATCTTACGTTGAAGAGAGGGGGGGGGGTCTCGGCAAATATCTCGCAATTTTTTTCTAATTGTAACAAAAAAAATACTATTTTGGTCCATTTAATCCAGATTGTACATGCTTAAGATGTAATCTTAAGCGTACATCGTAATACGATTAACTACTACTGAAATGTCAGATTATTAAACCAAAAATCAAACCTATGGTCAAGCCAAAGAGTATAGTAGGTTTGGCCAAAGACAATTTTTTTAATGAAGGAAAATATAACAGAGTTATTACCATATTCTTATCAAATAATAAAAATTATCAATAATTAAAATATAGAATTATTTGTATGAAGGTCACGTGAGCGCTAGAGAAACGACGATTGTAAGACGTTGTTGATAAATAAAATGTTTAATGAAATACTACAGTAAAAATAGAATTTAACTTTGCACTAAATTTCCGATCCAATTTTATTTTTTCATAAGGTTTAGGATCACTTACTGAGCATAAAATCACAAAATGCTGACAGATCCAGGTGACGCTTCAAGCGCCATACTGAAAAATCGTTTTCAGCCGATATCTCGGAAACTAATGCACTTTCAGGCAAAAGTTATAGAAACTATTATTGTAGAAAATAAAATTTTGCATCTTTTGTTTTCAGTAAACTTTTTTGTAAAACTTACCGTTTATGATTTATGACCCATTTATTGAACCGGTTTTTCAATCGCGGCCAATAACTCTTGAAATATTAGATTAATCAATAAAATGCATAAATCTATTTTTAAAGATCAGTTTATTTTCTAAAATTTTTGTTTGAAACTTTTTTTCTAATGTCCATACTTTTTTGAGTTATAGGACGTTTAATATTTTTTTTTCTTTTTACAATAACAATCCAACACGTTTACGTAAGAAACCCACATTTTGAAAAATCTCATGTGAGATTGGGGGATGGGAGAGGGGATTGAATAAAATCTCACGACATCTCACCACGGGGGGGAGGGACAGAAAATTTAAAAAATCACCTCACGTAATTTATAGACGCCCCTATCTATCTAAATCTACTCTTAAATTCGATTTTAACCTTAAAGTGAGATTTAAAGATATATACTCAAACATACAAACCTATTTACAATAACAACTGTGTCCTAATGTGTGTTTTTGCGAATGTCCTACAAATATTTATTAAAATTTCTCAGACATGCTAGAACTAAATTGCAATTAGTTCTAGCATGTCTAAGAAATTAGAACATTAGTGCAGGGGGAGACCGCACAAGGTATGCTGGCGCACTATATTTAATGCGAGCGCTTAAAAAGCCACAATTGAGTTGAGAGTTCAAGGATATTTTAAAATAATGCAACTTGAATGTTAATTAAATAACTTTGACGATTGCATTAACCTGACACCAGTTGAAATAATAAAATATTAATAGGATAAAGTACCTGTTTAAAATGAACGTAATCTACTGATTTACGTTGTTTGACTTGTTGCTCAGAAAGTAGACGCAGGCGCTTCAACAGTGCTACCATACCCCTATAGCTAGCATGGCTCTTAGTATATATATATATATATATATATGTAACCATAGCCTATATATATATATATTAGTAAGGTAGACCGAAACGAAGGTTGGAATCTGAATCCGTTAAGGTGTTTTCTTTATCTTTAAAAAAACTGAACTTACAAACGAACTACATACAGGCTATATATAAAGCAAACTTTAAGTAAAAGAGGCTACAGATGTCATATCACTTCTGAGGACTATGATGAAATGCCTCACAGCTTTCAGTTATACTGGCGCTCTACTATACGTTCTAAGAAGGCATACAGCAGCACAAGCACCGCAGTGTGATAGGAGAAATAGCTCAGAAGATGGCATCTACCCCGCCAGTCTTTACCATTTTGTTACCTACCTAGTATATAAAATATTTATTTTTTATTTTTATTAAGGTACCGGTCCTGAATTTGTTAACTTCGGCAACAACCAAAACAGGCCGTACCCTGGCAAGCAGTGTAAGTAATAAATAAATATTTTAATCCGTTGATGTGATTTTGGGTATTTTAATTAAATTTAGTGAAAGATCCTCATCATCTCAAACATCATTTTAAATCACGTTAGTAAATTATATATCTTACCCCCATATTGCCCTTACTATTTTACAATATTGTCTCCTTGTACCTAAATTTACATACTTAATACGCTCAAGTCCGGTCTGGAAATGTTTCGGATATTTTAAAAGATATTGACAGTAGTCTTAAAAAATTGCTTTGGAAAATATTCTAAATTTGAGATTACAATAGCATGGATTCAAGCCACTTTACCTATCAAATTTGGTGGTATTGGAGTAAGAAACATTTCTGGCGTCGCATTGCCTACTTTCCTTGCTTCCGTACATAGTGTCAATGATTTATGTAACACAATTAAAAAAAATAAAGTAGACCTGTGTTTTACTGCGGAGGCAAGGCAAAATGGCTGCTAACGTTCTGTCTCGGCGAAAATGTCCCACTGGAAGTTAAACAACAAAAACAGTGGGATATTCTGTTGGTACGGAGGGTCCAGAAAAATTTATTTCAAAATTTACACAGTCAACAAGATCAGGCTCGCCTTCTAGCTGTTTCGACTAAGGAATCTAGTCACTGGTTACACGCTTTACCATCAAATAATCTCGACACATTGCTTGATGGGGAGAGCTTGCGCATCGCCTTAGGAATCCGGCTTGGAGCGACAATTTGTCAACCTCAATCAGTGCCCCTGTAGTAGCAGCGTCGATGAGTTTGGGCTCCACGGACTTTCATGCAAGAAAAGTGCAGGTAGGTTTTCCCGCCACGGTTCTTTGAACGAAGTCATCCGAAGGGCTTTTGTCTCCATAAATATCTCCTCGGTTTTAGAGCCTTGTGGGATATTTAGAGACGATGGCAGGAGACCCGACGGTATGACTTTGGTCCCTTGGGAGAGAGGTAAAGCCCTAGTGTGGGATGCTACTTGCGTTGACACTTTGGCGGCCTCTCATCTCAAGAGTACCTCTTTTAGAGCCGGGGCGGCATCAGAGGCAGCCGAATTTAGTAAATGGCGCAAATATGAGTCTTTGAGAAATGACTACATATTTGTGCCATCTGCTGTAGAGACTATCGGTCCGTGGGGTCCACGTGCACTGAAGTTCCTAAAGGAACTGTATCCACGGCTGGTCGTCGCTGCTGGTGATAAGAGGGCTGGTTCTTTCCTCGCTCAAAGGCTTAGCATAGCTATTCAGCGAGTACCACGGGGAGCAGGACTTTTTGACTATTTAAATTTTTAGTGTTAGTTTTTCTATATTAAAGTTTCTTTTTTTATATTGTGTATAATTAGTATTAATTGTAAATACTATTTTTATTTAATAAATTGAACATCATAATGAAGCAGTTTATACAGACAGGCGCACTGTGTAAACTTTGTTTTAAAATGGGTTTCGGCGGTTTTTATTCCCAGTACTTGGAAAGTACATAAAGCTATTGGCCCTGCACCAGATCTCTCTCCGGTTGTATCGGATTGCCGTCCCATTGGATTATGAGAGTAAATGAGTGCACCCTGAACCTGCTTGCGCACAAACTCGTGCACAATAATACAAGTTCTGCACAGAGACTAGTGTCTGTTGAGACTGGCCGCCGTGGCTAAAATTCGGTCTGGAGAATATTATTATCAAGTACTAGCGATGCGCCTCGGCTTCATTCGAGTTATTTCTGGATGTCAACAAAGGCACCACTTACAGAATCCAAATATTAATCTAAAATATGTAGGGATCCTTTCAAATACACACAAATAAATTCATCAAAATCGGTAGAGTCGTTTTTAAGTTTTAGGATCAGTTCACACCTAGACGTACACAAAAAGATACATTCAACATCAATAAAATATTGAAATAAGATGCTGCTCCACAAGAAGCTTCGCGGCGTTGTGCGACACATCATGACGCAGCACGACGCAGCACGACGCAGCGGCGCTGCATTGGTTGCCGTATTCATATTTTTTTTTATAGGATAGGATGACAAACGAGCACACAGTTTATCTGATGGTAAGTGGTTGCTGTGGCCCATAGACATCTAGATCTATCCTCGATTACAAATCAAAATGAAGATGCGTTGTTACCCGTGAGGACTAAGATGGAATGCCTCGTTTCCAGCAAAATGGGTCTCCGGTTCTTTACACTCACCATACGAAACACAGAAACATTAAGCTACTATTTTACGCTGGTATTCAGTGAGAGCGTGGTCCTTCCCCGATCGAGCCGACTCATTCGTGCTACAACTTTACTTCTAATATAACTGCAGCATGGCTCTACCACGTATATATAATAACTTTATTTACTACACAAAAAGATACACATTTTAATGAAATAATTCGAAAATACCCCGCGACGGCGCGTTGCGCATTGCGAAATCACTGGCCTAATCTTCAAGCATCGTCACTTCGAGTCGCGACTCTGTGTGAATTGACCCTTAGCGAGGCCAACGTACAGCAGTTAATTTTTATGTTTAGTAGATTGTTTAAAATGTAATGTCAATAATTTTGTTAATTGTTCAGACGGCTTCTTCACGATTCATCGCCAAAAACGTTGGAAATCGTTTTTGGAAAGCACGTTTGAAAGTTCAATCACAATGCGATTAAGTATTTTAGCTAAGGAGATCGAATTCTAGTTTTTCGTGTATTATAAAATTTTATACGAGGACCTTCTGAACTAACACGGCTTTAGTTAATGGGTTTGTTTTTTATCAATGTTGGTAATAGAGATGTTTTTTTCCCAGACGACTCACCACTTCTCCGTGGAGGAAAGTAAGCTACACCTGTGATAGGCATATGACAATTAAGCTTCTAGTGAATGAAAAACATATTTCTGCTCTAACATTAATCCGAAAACTGTTCAAAAATATCTTTTATAAAATAAAAACCAATGTTTTTATAAATTGTCTTTCATTATTCTCATTCCCTCTTACATTCTTCATAGACTAAAAAGCAGCACATTAACCATTTCCTAAGTTTTATCATAATTAAAGTAAATATTGTCAAATACTAGACATACGTTTTGTTTATGTTTTTTAACCCGTCATGAGGATTTTCTCTTGTTTATTTAATATATCAAATTGAAGATATATTGAAGATGGACCAAATTAAGAGTATCTTTAACCGATAATAATGTATTCGACCCCATACGGATGTAAAAGTAACGAGAGATGTTTGTCACGATCGTGCCAAATGGAAGTCAGTAGTCTCTACGTACCTCTATGCGTAATGCGTGAGAGTTTTAAGTTACGCTAACTTTAAAATCTCAAAAAAGTTTTCCTTCATTCCATTTTTATAGCGAAACTTTTAAGACAAAATGAATAAGGAAAAATTCAGATGCTAAACTTAGTTTAAGTGTAAAGTGTAAGTACTTTTGCCTAACGTTTTCATTTATTCATTCATTACATTCTATAAAAGTCCACATATCAGCCAACCTCACTTGTGCCTCGTAAGGGTGGCACTTGCTATAGTTGCCACGCTGGGCAGGAGACTTGCTATAGTTGCCACGCTGGGCAGGAGACTTGCTATAGTTGCCACGCTGGGCAGGAGACTTGCTATAGTTGCCACGCTGGGCAGGAGATTTGGCAAAGGCAGTTTTTATTTTTAAGTTCTTGCTAGGAAGACGCTGCTACCCTGCTAAATAGATCATCATACATCTGCTAGTAAATGAACAAAGCGAACATTTTATTTAATTTTAAGAATTGAGTGATGCCTTACATGTAGTGGCATATTTTTATAGAAGCGTCAACACTATACCTTTCATTTATAACCAATAAATCGTCACTCAATAGTCACTCGCGCTCTAGGAGCTCATTCAGTGCATAACCGTTTCGTAAATTTGCAGTTTCATAAGCGTATGAGTAGATTGCCGAATTGTTGATATTGTTAGACCCCAAATATTTATTTCTTTACAATTAAGACTATTTTCTTAAGTAGAAAGTCAAAGAAAATAAGTTATTTTTAATAAAGGTTTTGAGAAATTTAGTGTGCAATTACTGGTCTAAAAAAGATACAAAAATCTTATTTGTGAACTAGTGTTCAGAATTAACACTGCCCTGTAAATTTTGTTTTGATATAGTAGATTATATCTATGATTTTTGATTGATGTTTTACGTTTTGCTTAATTATTTTGAATATATAATACTATAAACCAAAACATGAACGGAGGTTAATTACAGAAAAATCGTTGTTTTGACATGTAATTACTTCAGCTGTTCATGATTATTCCAAACGTTGCATTTGTGAATTAAGAAATTTGTTGGTTCATAATTAGGACTTTGAAACCTAATTATGAACTAATAATAATTTTGACAATATTTCAATTAAATTGTAAATAATTGTATTAGGGTTCTTCATGAATAAAAGTAAACCAATTTCATTGGCCTAGCAAACTGTTGTTTTTATATAAATAGTTGGAATAGATACCTACTTACTTAGCTTTTATATATTTATTAAAGATTTTTAAAATCCTATTGGGTTCAGTAGTAAAATAAAAACCTGAAATTTAAATGATTTAGGTTTAAATTAATAAATTATTAAAATAATAACGACTTTAACTAATTTAAAGTATTTACATCACTATTTGATAAACTTATAAAATAAAATCAATTATCCTTAAGCAAGGCTAGTAAAGTATATCAGAAACCCAAAGGAACATTACACAATAAAGTAAATGGCAAAGCACCAGTAGTTGCAAAAAGGGACCAAAAACGTTTTTAACTGATGACGAATAACTAAAACTAGAACAATGGATCTTAGATAAATCTAGTCTAGGGTATCCATTGCACTCAAATGATGTAAAATGTATGGTACAGTCATTTTCGACCACTAAGCCAAAAAACAGCTCAAAGTGATTTTTCTGGAGAACAATGCATGAAATTGTTCCTTAAAAGACATCCGCAAATTACTAAGCGGACAGAAGAAGTAATTTCAAGAGCACGAGCTGGAGTGACTGAAAAGTCTCTCGAAAATTGGTTTGATGAAGTCCATGAGCATCTTGAGCCCGAAAAGAAACTAGAAATCTTAAATGATCCAAAAAGAGTGGTCAATCTTGCTGAAATAAGTGTGCAAATTTGCCTTTGCAAAAACTGGAAACATTATAGCTCTTAAAAATTATCGTAACACTTTTGATGTTGCGTCAGGAAAAGAAAAAGAGTCTGTCACTGTACTGTGCAACTTCACACATTTCACAGTTTTTTCGGGAAAAAGACTTTTAAAGGACTATACAAACCAAGTTTCGGAACACTGAGCTATTGGACGAACTGATTCAGGCCATATGGTGGCAGCTACTTTCGAAGAATATATAAAAAATGTATTCCACCCGTGGCTAGTCAAAAATAAAATTAATGTTACGAGCTTGAGGTTCGTGACAATAAAAATTGCCGATAAAATTACCTAAATTAACACTTTAATTTAGTTTACACAATTAGAGTTAAAACACTAATAATTTAAACACACTAATTCACTTAATTCCACTCCGAAGCTTCGCTTGTTTCGCCCAAATCAACACTGCCTCGATCGCATCTTGCAGCGCCTATATATTTAAATTAGCAAAGAAATATCCAGAATGTTCAAGTAAACACGGGCAAGGTACCGAGCGTTCGAGTTTCGACTAGGCGCTGTCGGTTGAGTAATTTGTGATGTCATTTTCTCAATGCTCCCCTCGCTCTCGTTCCTGACACTAGATGGCGCTAGTGTATCGTTGACTGGAGCGCGTAACACTGCCCCCTCCTAAGACATGCTCGTCCCGAGCATTATCGGCCCCATAATAACGCGCCAAGCGATTCACATGGACGATCTTAGGAGTCCCTCTTGCGCCTTTCTGTAACGGCTCCGCAATGTCAAGGGCTGTCCTATCCCGTTGTGCACCAACATTGTACAATTTCGGTGCTCCTCTACTACGTGTCCGCTCGGCCGCACAACTTGTACATGTACGACACCAATCCTCGACATCGTCACGATAATGGACCCAGTAAAACTGTTCTCGGACCTTCAGTAGAGTTCGTTTAACTCCCAGATGGACTCTTGAACGACCATTATGGCACAACTGTAGAACGTTCGGCACTTTAGCTTTAGAGACAACCATTTGCAAACGACAACTGTCTCTTCGACCATTGTCCCATTTACGGCACAGGACACCATCCTGAATCAGCAAGCTGTCCCATTGGGCCCAATAGCTTTTCGTGGTTGAACTCATCGCTGAGACGTCCCTCCACTTAGGCTTGGTAGCACGGGCCTTCATCCATCCCAGAATCGGCTTGATGTCCGGATCTTCCTGCTGTGCATGTCGTAGGTTGTCCTTCCATTCGTTGCTGAGGTGGTCTGTCCTGAGCATCCTCACGGATACCACCTCCTTACTCTCTTGCCTACTACAATGGTTGGAATCTTCAGGACAAGGTCTTCTTGACAATGCATCTGCGTTGCCGTGAGATTTCCCGCTGCAGTGTCTGATAGTAAAGTCGTATTCCTGCTGCTGCTGGGCGGTGCTGTTAGCCGCACTTCCTTTCTGAGACCGTTCACCTTCCCTTCGTAGGGTGCGCTCAGGGTAGCTGGACCGAAGATGGCCCCTTTCCCCACAGCCATAGCACCTAGGGCTGTATCTTTTATTGTGGTCGCGAACCGTAACTGCTGGAACCTCCCTAGCGTGAGGTGAACGATGATCCTGTCGCCGCCAGGCAGTGTCGTTAGCTGCACTACCCTCTCGAGATCGATCAACTCTCCTTTCCACGGTTCGCTTAGGGCAGCTGATTCGAAGATGGCCTTTTTCCCCACAGCCATAGCACCTAGGGCTGTATCCTTTGTTGCGGTCGCGAACTGTAGCTGCTGCAACCTCCCTGACGCGATGGGAACGATGATCCTGCCGCACGGCTTCCACCTCCAGTGCATGGGCCAAGGCGTTCTTAAGCGTGTCGTGGTGCCCGAGTCTCACAGCAGCTCTGACTTCAAGGTCGCGGATGCCGTCGATGAATGTCTGAACCAGGTTCCCTTCAATGAGCGCAGGTACAGACTGGTATGCTTTTCGAACCATCTTCTCCACCTCAAGGGCCCACTGCTGCAGGTTTTCGTTGCTGCGCTGCACGCGATCTTTAAGCTGCGCGCGAAAGACGTGTTCCAGATGAGCGTCGCCATATCTCGCTTCCAAGGCCTCAAGAAGCTGCTCATAGGTCACTTTCTTACCGAGAGCTTCCAACACAGTTAAGGCTTGGTCGCGCAGGCCTAGGGTGAGTGCAGTCATGGCTTGGCTTTTATTCCAGCCGTTCGCCTCCATGACGGCCTCGAACTGGATTTTGTAGGCCGACCAGGAAGAGGTACCGTCGAACGGTGGCACCTTGAACCCACGTAGCGAAGGTGTTGTAGCTACTACGGGAGCTGTAGCTCCATCTCCAAGTTTGAGTTCGTCCAGTGATTTCTTCATGTCAGCCATTACGTTGTCAACCCGATTGTTCACTTGGTCGATTCGGGTTTCAGCTTTCGCGATTTGGGTTTCAGCTTCCGACAGGCGGTTGTCATGCTGAGCAACCCTATCCTTCACCTCCCTTATCTCTTTCCCGAATGTAGCGTGAAGGTCCTTAATGAGGAGCATCTGCTGTTCCGACCGACGGGCCTGTTCCTCCTGTCGGCGGGCCTGCTCCTCTTGTCCGCTCTGCAGCTGCTCTTTCAACTGACGGACCTGTTCCGCCTGCTGACGAGCCTGTTCATCCTGTCCACCCCGCAGCTGCTCCTCCAACCGACGGACCTGTTCCTCCTGTCGGCGAGCCTGTTCCTGCAGCATCACCATCAGAGCACCTAAATCGGCAGCTGCAGATGGAGGAGCTACTGACGGGCCTGCAGCCGGCGGCTGGCCCTCCGACGTCAGCGGCGTTGCACCACCAAATCTTCTTTGGTCCGTCTCCTGCTGGCGTTGATTTCGGGTACGGACACCCTCCGTTTCCTCCTTAGGTAAAATCGGCATGATTTTATCCCACTTCTGACACCAATTGTTACGAGCTTGAGGTTCGTGACAATAAAAATTGCCGATAAAATTACCTAAATTAACACTTTAATTTAGTTTACACAATTAGAGTTAAAACACTAATAATTTAAACACACTAATTCACTTAATTCCACTCCGAAGCTTCGCTTGTTTCGCCCAAATCAACACTGCCTCGATCGCATCTTGCAGCGCCTATATATTTAAATTAGCAAAGAAATATCCAGAATGTTCAAGTAAACACGGGCAAGGTACCGAGCGTTCGAGTTTCGACTAGGCGCTGTCGGTTGAGTAATTTGTGATGTCATTTTCTCAATGCTCCCCCTCGCTCTCGTTCCTGACACTAGATGGCGCTAGTGTATCGTTGACTGGAGCGCGTAACATTAAGTTACCGGTGATCCTTTTTATGAATGGTCATAAATCTCACGTTGGCTTGTCACTCACGAGTTCTGCACAATAAATAAAATCATTCTGTATTGCCTATATCCAAATGCTACACACTTAATACAGTCATGCGATGTATCTATCTTCAAAGAAGTGAAGGTACAATGGCGAGAAGACGGTTGTAAGTATTAGCATGAAACCCAAAAAAGCTGGACAAAAGCCTCGTTCCCGGCACTTTTTGCAAAATCGTTTGGGAAATTGGTTAATCCGACTATCACCAAGAATGGTTTTCGCAAATGTGGACTCTTTCGCTTGACAAAAATGCAGTTGATTACTCAAAATGCATGTCGAATAGGTTGAAAGAAATCCGGAACAAGAAGATAACCCATGCTGTCAATATTGATCAATATCTTTCCACTATAAAAGTACTGAAAAACGAAATTGGACCAAAGTTGAAAGATTTTATTGAAGCTAGAAAAACGGTTAAAAATTAGATTTCTTACATAATTTTTCTTGTTTTTTTAAAAAAAAGTACCATATTTGGGTTGGAATTATTTTGTAGACAGATCGTTACTGTTAAACCGTTCAAATTAAGATAAATAAGTATTATGTGCAGATTGATTGTTAATGTTTTAGATTATTTAGTATTACCGTTAGCCAAAAGTAAGTTAAGTCACGCACGCACGCACGCACCACCTATTACCTAGCAGTAAGCACCATCAATTAATATTAATTAAGAAATAATGAATCATCTTACATACTTACCGAATATATACTTAGAACTAAGAATTAGGGGAGGCACTGTTTCCTGAGATACAGGTGATAACCTAGTTCAGGACACAGCTCCTTTGTATTTAGACATATATGGCAGTTAATAAACGTTTTTTTTAAATATTTTATGAAAATGTAGATGTGTTGTCATCCCTGAGCATAGAATGCCTCGTTTCCAGTTAACAAATTATCCGGTTCTCCACAGTTACCATACGAAACAGCAGAACTAAGCTGCTATTTTACGCTGGTATTCTGTGAGAACGTAATCCTTTCCGTGGCTTGGACCTATTCGTACTACAAGCATAATATAAATGTATTGTAGTAGTACCGGGTATTAATGTTTTCAAGGAAAATTGTAAAAAATAAATATAACAAAATAAATAATACACACAGTCAAGGAAAATTGTCAAGGCAAATGCAAATATTTTGTTTTTAATTTTTTTGCGTTGTAACTAATTCAATTTACTTTAAAATATTCCTCAATATCAGAAGAGTAATAGGTTCAATGGATTCCAATGTTTTCAATTTTACAGCTAATAGCTGTTGCTAACATTATTTGCAGATAATGAAGATGTATTTCAGAAGAGGACATATTCAGGGACATATTCAGTGAGCGTTTTCTTAATGAGGTAGATACCAATTTTAAAAATATAACGATTACGCTTACTCAAAATAAAAAAGACACTAATTTTTATTCGTTTTAAAATATGGAGTGGTCGAAGAAAAAGATAGAGTAGCGGTTATCGCGTTGCACCGCTGTGGCTACGCGCCAAAAGAGATTTTCAATATTCTACAAAAATTTAAAATTACCCTATATAGTTGTTTATCGCACTATCAAACGATTCACTGAAGATTCAAGCTTCAAATATCGTAAGAGGACCGGCCACCCTCGTACAGTTAGGACATCCGTGATCATCAAAGCAGTGAACGCGCGAATTCAATAAAAACCTGTTTGTAAACAAAAAACTTAGCTTTTCAGATAGGT